GTACTGCTTGTAGTTCTCCAAGTTAGAAGTTCTTGCTGGGTTCAACTGTGTTCTTTGCTTCTCAGATTTTTATTAGGCTGAGCTCCAGGTGTCAGTCAGCTAGGGGCTCCTCAGTTTCCAGAGGTTACCTGCAGTTTCTTGCCACACAGTTCTCTCAAGGCTAAGAGGAAAGTCTCTGCAGCTGCTTTTGAACCTCCCTAACTTCTCCATGATTCACATCTGGACCACGTTTGAGGTGGTTCACCCAGTTATATCAGCCTCACGGAAGATACACAGCCTCTCAAATCCAGCTGACTGACAATCACAGGTACTGATTGTTCTGTAGTAAACAGAGCAGGGTTTAATTCACTAACTGAAACAGGCGCCACATCAGGTACCACAGCAGGTAACAGTGTAAGGGGTTCTACAGAGCAGTTCAGCAGAGCCACGAAGAGGAAGTCTTGTGAAAGAGACATCTGGCTGAGACCAGAAAGAGGTGAAGGAAGATCAGTCTAGGTGGCAGCTAGTGTCTGAAACAAATTAAAGAACAGGTTGTCTTCCTAAAGAAAATTCTCTTAAACTTTGTTTGTTCTAAAATCACTGGGCACCTGGTGTGTTCTTTAATTTCCATGTGCAAAGGCCCTCCAAGCTCTCCATCCCCTCAACCACAATCGGTAGGATTAATGGCACAAGAAATGTGCTCTTGTATGTATCACTGATATATTTGAGCAATGCATCACAATCATTACCTAACTGCATGCACTAAAAAGCCTTTTTATACATGGGTAGGTTTTATAGGCAAATGTGAATTTAAAAGTCAGTATATTCTTAGACGAGAAAAGGCTATTTGGTATTGTTTGTCTTTTGACACAGAGTCTTGATATTATATGTGTGTGTCGTCACTGTGCCCAATTTAAGGCTTTCTGAATTGGTATACTTTGAAGTTTACTTCAGTGCAAATCCTACTATGCTGTAAAAGAAGTCTGCCCTAGGTTGGGATATTGTTCACACTTGTAAAAAATTTCAATACACTAAGTTGCATTGAAAGAAACTCACGAACACATGCAAGTAGCAATGTTGGTGTTTTCTTCCTAGCTATCATTCTCTTGAAATCACAGAGATTCACCTGCCTCTGCCACCCAAGCACTGGCATTAAAGGCATGTGCCACCACCACCTGGCAAATTCTAATTATTCTTAATAATAAAAACCTGGAGTCAGATATTGGGGTTGAAAGCCGAGAGATTTGAGAAGCAGTGCAGTTAGCCACTAGAGAGTCCTTTTACCTCTACTGAATCCTCAGATTGAAGGGGTGATCTTGTCTCTATGAATCCTCAGATTGTATGCTCAGACTGAATCCTCAGACTGCAATGAGCTTCTGTCTCCTCCCACTTTATATTCCCTTTTCTGCCCAGCCGTGTTACTCCTGTTTTTAATGGTCTGTCCTGTCTCTTTGAGAGACAAGCCCCACCCTGCCCACTCACTCCCATCTGCTGAGGCAAGCAGATCTTCTTTCTGCTTCTAGCCTGAGTTTCCTTCTGTCTCTCTCCCAAAGAGGCAGCTTCTGTCTCACTCCCTTCTCCTCACATCTCTCCCTCTCTCCTCTTTCTCCTCTCCTTCCTCCCTTTCCTCTTCCCATCCATAACCCACTAAATAAATATCCAACCTTACTGTACATGGCATGCCTATGTGTCTCAGTCTCATCCACCCTGAGGCTCCCTGCCTGGGACTCATGGCTCCTCTTGGCCCACTGCCACTTGAGGAATGGCGTCATTTTATTTTTAGCATAACTTTTGGTGTTCGTGACTTGGCCAGGCTCTCCACGTTCCCTCCCACCTGCGGGTAGGCCCGCAGAGGAAATGTGGAACCCTGGGTTTCTTTACAACAGCTCTGTGTTGTATCTGCCTTAATGCTGATGTCTATGTACACTAGTGGCTTTGGTGGTGAGTTTTCCGCTTTCAGCTCCAACCATAGCCTTCATGGCTACAGTTGAGCCCTTTGCTGACATTCATCTCTGGTTGATTCCCATAGCTAAAAACGTGACTGGACCACCCAGAGTTGGTCCTCCTGCGCTACCACTGCACATGCAGTGCAGTGCATTCGATTTGGGGTCTGGGGTCCCTCAGATTTTTCTTTTTCCTTTTCTTTTGGTCCCAGCCATGAGAGACCACTTGGAGTGGCCTCTAGACTCTCTGGCTTCTGAGTTGCCCAGACTGGAGCCTACCAGGCTTCAACACCCCACCTGTAGAGAAGAGATGTCTAACTATAGGCTTTGCAGTGTCTGTTTTATCCACACCCCACCTGTAGAGAGGTGATGTCGTCCTACAGGCCCTGTGGTGTTTTCATAGTTTCAGCTATGTTATAAACCCTCAAACCATCAGCCACCCGCCTGTAAATGCTCTGCCCGTGTCTGGCCGGCTCTGCTTTTTCTCAAACTATCCCTGCCACTGCTACCGCTGGTCCTGTGGGAACTGACAAGATTAGTCAGATCCGTGAGGCAATTGTTTTCAATTCTAGCCTTTGCTCCTGGCCGCTTGTGGTACGGAGGCTTGGCAACAGGGCGGGTCATGCCTTTAGGTCTCTCTTGTTATTAAATTTAAAACTCCCAAGGCTCAAAAATGTAGCTTTTCCATACAACACGTGACCACCGCCATTTTGACTGAGGTCAGGTGACTTCACTGCCACCTTAAACAGACAGCCAGGTCCAGTAACCAAGTACTGCCATCCTTACTGAGGTATACCCTGCCTGGTCCCCTGGTTTACTTATGTTTTTGTTTCTAAATTCCTCTTGCTGACTCTGTTACATGTATGTTTAGTGCAGTAGTATGTCTTTGGTAGGGCCTACCAAGAGCATCCACTTTGCCCAATTTCTGTTCACTGTGTGTGTGCATACATGTAACTTAAATACACCTATGTTTACTTTAAATGTTATAATTGTTCATTGTATCCCATTCCAGACTACAAAGCAACAATTCTTCTGTTTTAAATTGGTATGTACTTTTAAGTCTCTTAATCCAACCCTGCTTTACCTGTTAAGTTGAAAGCCAGTACAGTCAAGCTCAGACCCAGCTCTCCAGGCAGGTTCTATAACTCATCTATACCTAGTAAACAGCCCTCAACTGCTCAGAGATCTGGGGGATCTGACATTTAAATATTTAATTATTAAAAACTTTTCATAACAAAAAGAGACAGGTTGGCTCCTAGCAGTGGCACTCTATTTCCTCCAAAGACAGAAGACAAATGGGCACAGAACAATGTCCATCCGCAATTCACTTCAACTGCCAAGTGCTGATCACTGGGAAAAACTGCCTTTTATCTAAACCGAAGATCTCCAGATTTGGACAGAATCGCTGGAATCTACAGCCTAGCTGCTCAGGTCAAGGTAGGCTTGTCTTCCTACAGATTTCTTAGCCCATGGGATCTTCTGGAGCCTGGCAGGCCCTGCACAAAACATCAAAAGGCAAATATGACCCTCAGCAAACAAGGAGAACCCTGAGGAGTAGCTCTAGGTGCCAACCAAGTAAGTTCTCTGTCGTTTTTAATCAAGTAAAAATTTATCCTTCTCAAAGATCTCTGATGTAGTCTGACAGCTGAGAAGTTTTGTCAGTTTAAAAGGACAACCTCACCATACAAATTTTAGTAAAACACAAATACAAGTTAAGGTATGTACTTGCAAGTTATAAAGGTGTGAGGACAAACCAAGTAAACCAAATTTCTCTCTCATGCTGCCTTCCATAGTTTTAAAAATACTTTTCATTGTGCAAAAACATCTGTCAAGTCATTCTCACATAAATATGCTACCGTCTAAAGCTTATTTTTCACAAACCCAAAAAATTCTTGTGTGTTCCAGGGAGCCAAATTGAAGGGTCCACCTTAAATAGGTCAGATACACCCCTCTCAATTCCCTGGTCTTAATTTTTTTCTCCTAAACTTAACTTTGTCCTCTGTTCTGCCAATAATAGGTGTTAGAGACACCAGACATTTCCATACCACAAACACTGGACAGGAGCAAAGAGACCAGCTACACCAGGATGTGACCAGCACCCAGCTTTTTCAGGCTCCCCCACAAGATGTCACCCACAAATAAGCAGAAAGCAGTCTTGAGAATTTGCCATCCCAATTCCTTTAACCTGTTGTGCCTCCTGTATGCCTCTGTCACCCAAGTGCTAGGATTAAATGTGTGTGCCACCATGTCTAGATCTATGATGTAGTGCAAATAATAAAAACCCAGAGACAGATATTAGGGTTTAAACTGAAGAACAGAAAAGCAAAGCAGTCACACCACTAGAGAGATCTTATTTCTACTAAGACTCAAAGGGGTGATCCTACAATGCTCCCACCAACCTCAGACTCCACACTCCACTGAGTTCCTGTCTCTTCCCCTTTTTATTCCTCTCTCCACCCAGCCATATCACTAGTCTCTACCTTCCTAGTGCTGGGACTAAAGACATGTGATCCCAAGTGCTGAGATCACCTTTGTGTGAGCTCTGTTTCTCTTTTAGATTGATTCACTCTTATGTAGGCCAGGGTGGCTGTGAACTCACAGTGATCCCTCTGCCTCTGTCTCCCAAATGCTGGGATTAGAGGTGTGTGCTACTACTCCCAGATCTATGATTAACTAGTGGCTTAGCTCTCCACTCTGATCTTCAGGCAAACTTTATTTGTTAGATTATAAACAAAATATCCCCACACAGAAATACTTCGGCAATACTTGAAAATCCACATCAGAAATGTTACTCAACCACATCTTACTTCATTCAAAGCTTCTCCTCTGATCCTTCCAACAACAATCTCTGCTAGTCTTCCTACCAATTACCTGTTTGTATTCTCTAGTCCTTCTGCATAGCTGCCAAATTACCTTCCTGAAAATTGAAAAAAAAAAAAAACCCATCCTTTTTTCCCTCCTACATGTACTTTACATTCCAGTAGAGCAGAACTGGTCAAGAACAGGCAAACATACATCACACTTAGAAAACCAAATTCCATATTTACAGATGTACATGTGACAAGTCAGAGAGAGAGAGAGAGAGAGAGAGAGAGAGAGAGAGAGAGAGAGAGAATGAGATATTAGGGTAAGCACAGTAGAGGGCGTGATTTTACACTGGTGACATAAATGCTATTACCCCCAGCTAAAGACATACTTGGTCAAATACAGTTGGGTTAAATGTCTTGTTGCAAATAGGCCACCAGAACACCATGGGATGCTGCAGCGACTCTTACTAAGAGAGCATTGGGAAGAGTACAGACTCCGGCTTGGGAGGTGCTTCTGAGGGCTAGAGGCTGCCAGAAAGCAGAAGAGCTTCCATGAATGTGTCTTCTGACATATGTTATCTAGAAGACAAGGACAGTGCAAAGCTGTCATTGTAAATGGTTAGAAAACAGGAGTCACCTATAATGGCTAAAATGTTCAGCTTTGTGGTTGAGAAAACCTGAATATTAGCGCTTGTTATGCCCGTCACCATAAAGGCCAATGAGCAGAGTTAGGAATCAAACATTTAAGCTGCATTTTGTTCAGAGCCAGCGATCTGAGAGGGCAGCACACCAACACTTTAGGAGAAATAACGGATTCCTCTCCTTTCCAGCCAGCAGATTACACAGGGAGGTGCTGAAGCATGGGTACACTGCCATTCCTTTAGGAATCTTTTTTCCCCTGTCACCCAGATTTGAGCCTTGTGATGTCTGCATCTCTCACTATTGCCCCGTGTCCTTCTCATTTTATGAACATCTGGCTCCAGGTACTTCTTGAAAATGCTCAATCTTATGTGTCTTGGGTATTATTAACCTTGTATTCCTCTACAGGTCTCTGGGCTGTGGGCAGGGATTAACTCAGAACAAGCCATTAGCAGTGCCTAAAAACCTATTAAAAGCATGTATGTGCAGGTTCCTTTCTACAGGATTAGGTACAAATGTGTCCTTACAATATAGAACACAAAAGTGTCTCCATTCATTTCTCCTGCCCATTTGGAGGATGCTCGTGTGTATGACGTATTCAGACATGACTGTGGAGGGTTCTTTATTTCACCTTACCATGGCCACAGTGGTCACAGGTGACACTGATGTTTGGTGGTTGTGTATACTCAAGAGAATACATTACTTAGCCGACAATGCTAGCCAGCAAGGGCCAGCTGATGCCAGCCTAGTCTCTGTCTATGTGGGATTATGGGGTTTACTAATTTTTTTTAATATTCAACAGCCGAAACAATCTCTAATTGCAGAGCATGTAACTGTTGCTCATGGTTGTATTTCCTGAAAATTTATCTACATGACTCTTTAGGGTGCTGAGTTCCTACAGTTTTGGTGACTATGATATTTGCTTCTCCATTGCTTTGATAAAAACACCACGACCAATGTGACTCACAGAAGAGTTTATTTGGGTTTACAGTCTCAGAAGGATTAGAGTCCTTGATGATGAAGTGCAGGCACAGCACTGAAGCTGGAAACAGAGAGTGCATTGGGAATGGTGTAAGGTTCTGAAACCTCAAGACCTGCCCCATACCTCGTCATCAAGCTTCAGCCTCCAAAGATCTATCAAAGCAACACCACTGGGGTCCTATACTCAGATGTCTGAGACTAACCACAACGACAATAGCAATTTACCTTTCCTACCCCCATTTTTAAGAGTGCCTGTAGCCCAGGCATGCCTTGAACTGCGGCTGTTTTCCTGCCTCATCCTCGGTTCTGGGATCACAGGTGTGAATCCCTAAACTGAGAGCTGGCATGCAGTGAAGTTAGGGGATTAACGTTGAAACTCTGAGGAATTCTCTTTCCTCAAGAAGATCTGCACAGGTGTAGGGAGGTGGTGAGCATAGACAGATTATTCTCAACACAGATGTCACTTCTCATGATGGGCAGAGGGCAACTAGCAGACCAGAGACAATCTGTTCATTGCTGTCTGGCTCAGGAATTGTAATAAAATAGCTACCGTCAATTCCAGAAGCTTTAAAAGCCTCAGACTCATCTGCCCAGTTCACTTCTAAAAATAGGAAGCTGGAATTAGTGCACACATGTAGCTCGGATAGGCCTGCCCAGGGCCAGGTTCCCCGTAAAGGACCAGCTAAAACCAGGAAGACACTCGGGTTCTCACTCCAGTCTGATTCAACACACACTCAGGAGATTCATTCATATTCTGTTTTATTTTTAATTCACGAGTAGAGTTGTATTGGATGAATATTCCAACTTACTCACCCACTCTCCCACTGACGGACATCTGGGCTCCTTGAGGCTTTTGCTATCCTAAGTACAGTTGAAATGAGCATTTCTGTAAAGTCTCTTCGTAGAGGTAGGGTTTTATTTCTCTTGGCTAATCCAAGATGTGGGACTGATGGTCAAAGGGGAGATCTGTATTTGACTGAATGAAACTGACAGGGCCATAAGTTCCAAAAGTTTTATTACAGCTCCCTTTGCTCAAAGAATAATCAAGCTGAGACAGGAAAGGAGCTATAAGGCCTTAACTCTGTCTCTCACCAGTGAAGCTCTGGCGGCGTCCTGGAAGGCTCCCCTCCCCCATTACTCACTACCACCACGCGGGTACAGCTATAGGGAAGAGGACTTCAGACAGCTCTTCCGATTGCAATATAGGTATGCGAATCTCTTCCACAAATCTTTGTCTCTGTGTTTCTTGAAGTTCCATCTCATTATGATCAAGCCCTGGAAGTGGGATTTCTGAATATGAAGATTTAAAGGGTCGGTTTCTGAAAAAGAGACCATTGCTAGCAAAAAAATCTGATGGTACGTCTGGGTGGAACCACATCCCCAACCTACTCCTTGGTAGCTTTTAAGAACGCCACCATTTTTCTTCAGCAGTTGGTGGGGCTTCATTTGGTGCAAAGTAGAAACTGCCAGAAACAGAACGCACCCTATCTCTTTCCAATCTTTGTTCCCTTTCCTCCTTCCTCCAGTCACAACGAATACATTCCTCCCAAAGTCTCTCCTCCTCCTCTTCACTTCCATCGACCTCCCGCTTTAGAGTGGTTAGTTACCACGGGTTTGACAGTCCCCTCCGACACTCACACTGAAAGTTGCTATTGCAACAGTTTGATGCAACAAACTAAGAGGCGGCTCTTTTAAGAGGTGATGAGGACATTGGAGTTCTGCCCTCTGAACGGGTTGCCACAAGCCTAGTAGGATCCTCATACAAACGACGGATTGTCTCTTGTCCTGCCACTTAGCTTTCACTGTGCGATGTTATCCCACTTTTCAAAGCCCCCAGAACCAAGAGCCAGATAAACTATTGTTTATAATTTCACCAGTGTGTGGTATCCTTATCGCAGAAGAGACTAAGACAGCCTTCCCTACTTCCTCCTTGTGAAAGCTAACCACTCCATACCAGCGAACCCTGTTTACGACCGTATCTGTCCAGCATCAGTGTAACTAAGATTTCTAAAGGGTCAACCGCAAGCTTACTTTCCCACCTTGGTCACCAACGTCTGTCATACGGGCACAGCACTAACCTCTCTATACTAGCCAGACTGGATTTCCAATGTGTCAACAAGTAACATTGTGCTCGAAGTCTGCAATGCTGGATTACTCCTTGTGTTCGAGAAACTACCCTCCAGCCGGTATAGGTCACCTGATCCGTGCCTTCATCTTGGCACGGGAGTGCAATGGCAGCCGTGTGCAACAGGTACCTAGACAAATGAGTGGAACCAGTGGTGTCGCACAACTATCCAGCTAACGGGTCCTGCCCATCACCCAAGGGCGGAGCATGTGTCACTCTCTCAGGGCTCTCCATCGCCTTTCCGGGAGCACTGCCACTCGGGTTCCCAAATGGCCTCAGTTTCCAAGTCAGGGCTGAAGGTGGGGTGGGAAGTGAGGGGGAAGAGCCAAGCCGTGCCCGACCAATGAAAGCTCTTGAACTTACACCTCGGGACGTCAGTGCGGCTGGGGAAACGGATGTCGCACCGCTGGCTCGGAAGCGTCTCCGCCCGCCTCTGGAGAGGGGCGTGCACCCCAGCACCCTAGGCGCGCGGAGCGGCGCGCGTCCCCGTCACCGCGCGCGCGGCCGCGTGGGCCCGCCCCCCCCCCCCCCCCCCCGCTACGCCCGCCCCGGGTGAGCCCCCGCGCGCCCCCGCGGCCGGCTCCGCCCCCTCCCGGAGCTGGGGTGGCGGAGGAGGCGCGCGCTCCTGCGGCAGCGAGTCGTGTCGCGGGCGCGCGCTCCGCCGGCCGAGCCGCTGTTAAAATGGTCCGAGGCGGGCCGGCGTCGCCCCCGCCGTGGCGCTGCGCTGCCTGACTGACTGAACCGGCCGGCCCAGTCGGCAGACCCGCTCCCTCCCTCGCGTCCCCACAGCTCGCGCCCATCGTTCTCCTGGCTCCCCGGGGCCAAGCATGTAGCCCGCGTCGGGCAACCCCGGCGGCCCGCAGCTGACGCCCTCCCTCCCTCCTTCCCCGCCCCCGCCGCCGTCGCGTGTGCCGGGTGCGCAGCGCGGGCGACCCCGCGGCGGGCAAGAGGCCCGGCCAAGCCAGCGGCCTGCCCCACCGCCGCCGGAGCCCGCCCCTCGGGCCTCCTTCCCGCCCCGTCCCGCTCGCCCTCCTCGGGGGCCTTCTATATGGGCCACCTTCTCTCGAAGGAGCCGCGTAACCGCCCGAGCCAGAAGAAGCCTCGTTGCTGCAGCTGGTGTCGCCGCCGGCGCCCTCTCCTCAGACTGCCCCGCCGGACTCCGGCGAAGGCGACCCCGCAGCCCGCGGCGCCCCGGAGCCGGGACTGCTTTTTCCGCGGGCCCTGCATGCTCTGCTTCATCGTGCACAGCCCCGGCGCGCCCGCCCCCGCCGGCCTAGAGGAGGAGCTGCCGCTCTCGCCGCCGCCGCCGCCGCCGCGGGACGGGGCCTACGCCGCCACTGCCGCCGCCGTCTCCTCGCAGCACCTGGCACGGCGCTACGCGGCCCTGGCCGCCGAGGACTGTGCCGCTGCCGCCCGCCGCTTCCTGCTGTCCTCGGCCGCCGCCGCTGCCGCTGCCGCCGCCGCCTCCTCGTCGCCCGCGTCCTGCTGCAAGGAGTTGGGGCTGACCGCGGCCGCCGCCGCCGCCTGGGAGCAGCAGGGCCCGGGCCTTTTCCTGGCCAGCGTGGGGCCGGTGCGCTTCCTGGGACCGTCGGCCGCCGCGCAGCTCTTCCGGGGGCCGCTGTCGCCGCCGCCGCAGGCCGAGTCCCCCACCGTCCTCGATATGGTTTGCAAGCGGAAAGGGACCGGGGTCCCCGCCTGCACCCCTTGCAAGCAGCCCCGCTGCGGTGGCGGCGGCGGCGGGGGCTGCGGCGGTGGGGGCGGTGGCGGGGGAGGGCCGGCGGGGGGAGGGGCCTCGCCGCCGCGGCCGCCCGATGCCGGCTGCTGCCAGGCCCCGGAGCAGCCTCCGCCACCGCCACCGCCGCCGCCGCCACCGCCGCTCTGCCCCGCGCCCGCCTCTCCCGCCTCCGAGTGTGCCCCCGTCGAGGCCGCCGGGGACGCTGTCCGAGCTGGGGGCACCGCCCCCTCGTCCACCCAGCAGCAGCAGCAGCAGCAACAGCAACAGCAGCCAGAAAGTGGCGACGCGGACTGTCAGGAGCCCCACGGAAACCCCTGCGACTGTCACAGGGAGCCGCCCCCCGAAATTCCAGACATCAACCAACTGCCTCCGTCCATCCTGCTTAAGGTGGGTCTGGGCGAGTGGCGCAGGGATGCTCGCTTGTCCCCCCCCCTCCCCCCGCCCCGCTCTCTCTCTCCTCCCCCTTTGTGCAAAGGAGGGGGTTCCCTGACAGCCGGGGGACGCCGGAAGGGGAGACTGGGAAGCCTGTGGGGCCAGAGCTTTCAGCCTAGTTTTGAAGTAGAGAAACTTGGAGTCTGCTGAATGCCTTGTAGTAGCTTAGGTCTGTTATGTACAACTCGTGGTTCGTGGATTGCGTTAGCAACCCCCGTAGAGAAACTACTAAATTTCTGTGGACTATACGTGCATTCTTGATCAGTTTGTATGTAGTGGGTCTCGACTTTACATCCTGGTGTTTAAAAGTTTGCAAATTTGATAGCTGCTCCTAAGTGGCAATAACTTGGGAGGCATTTACCGTGACCAGTCACTGCGAGCTTTGTATATGGATTTCTCAGGTTGATGCTGTGAGATAAGTCCTGTTAATAACGTACTATAAGAAAAAGAAACTGACGTTTCAGTGGTTTGGAGCAGATGGCATACATTGGTGTGCCTGCAACAGGAGGGTTTTTTTTTTTTTCTCTTGTGATGCTAACAGTCTAGTTGGACTTGAAGTGGTTGAATGATTCCTTCAAGGTCACACCCGTAAACTGAAGGACACATTTGGGTCGTGAACTAGGGAGTTTTGGCTAGCTTGACTTGAAACAAAACAAGCCCAACCATCCTGTTGTTTATGCTGTTTTTCCTTCCCATATCTTTACCTTCCTATACAAACAAGGGTTACCACAAATCAGAAGTCCTTCCTTCTTGAGCGTTGGGTGAGTGAAGAGTTGAAGTGCCTGCTAGGAACTTTGTGCCACTTTAAATCACCAAGTAAAAAGTTCCAGTTTTGTCAGTGCTAAGGACAAACTTCGTGATAGAATTTGTATTAAGTTCTTTTCCCCCTTGCTTTCTGTCTTTGTTAGCAGCATGCCCCTTTCAGTGTGGATGCTATTTAAATGAGACTAGCCAGAAATAACCTTCAGGAGAACTGGGCTACTCTTGTTGTTGCTGAGGTGACTGCTGTGACTTTCAGTTGTTATGTCACATCAGGGTCCCTTATATGATTAGACTTTCTGCACATTCACACTTCTGTGTTTGGATCAGTTTCCCTGTGACTTCGATGTTCTTGTGAACAAGACAGCAAAAGAGTGGGCAAGTTTACCATTCCCTGTGTCAAGTGTAAAGCTTTAATCATTATGCAGGTTAGAGGAGTAATTACTGTGCATGTGTTCAGGGGACGCACTTTAGGGCAGAGGGAACTTCCCCGAGTCCTTTGCATCACTGGCTGCCATGGATAAATAAATGATCAACAAACATTTAGTAGAAGTTTCTCTCATTGCTGCCTTCTTATTTGACAGGTGTAGATGCTAACCGAGACAAACTGGGTATTCTTCTCATTTTACCTGGGCTCTTATATCACGAAGAAAAGATAATAAATTACTTATTTCTTATCTTTTTCGGTTTATTGTGACAGGGTCTCACTGTGTAGCTCAGGCTGGCCTCCAGACTGTTGCTCCTCTTGCCTCAGGCCTTTCAGTGCTGGGTTACAGGCTCCACATCAGCGAGGCTAACTCTCTTATTTATCTATTTTAGTGCTAACTGTGCCTTTTTTCGAAGTGCTCCAGCATTGCCAACTAAGGCAGAGCTTGCTTTGCTTCAGCCCTATCCCTCCGTTTCATCTTGTCTCCCAGAGGTAGAATGACCACTGGTAACACCTGAGGTTATTTTTCTAGATCCATACCATCCGTATGTTAGCTGCTAGCTACAAGTATTGACATTTGCAATGGTTAAGTAAAACTTAAAATTCACTTTTTCAATTATGAGAGTTAGATTTCAGAAGTCTGTAGTCACATGGCCTTAGTGCCTCCTCTATTGGACTGTGCTGTATAGGATGTTCCCTTTATTGCAGAAAGAGCTGTGTACACGCCCCCTCCCCCATGCCCATGTGCTGTAATTTTTGTGGCTAGTGGATTTGGAAGTCTTTTTTTCTGAATCATTTAGTTTCTTTCATTTTAAACTACCGCTTAGTATCCCATAGTATCATATTGCCTTCTATTGAGAGATACATTTCCGGCTTTATTTTTTCTACTAGAACAATGTGTGCAGATGTTGTCTATACACCCCTTGAAATAATTTCGAGGCTAGGTTTCAAGGAAGTGGGATTCCGGGTTAAAGAGTATGTGCTTGGCAATTTAGAAGCCTTTGGTAACAATTGGTGCTCTAAAAAAATGGAACTTCTTTCTTGAAATAGTAAGCGTTCCTGGAAATCGTAATTTGGTAAGTCAGGAACAAGAAGTGATTGTTGAGACCCTCTATTCACTCCCACCCCTTAATAAATACAGAAATAGAGGAGAAATGTCTCATCCAAGGACATTTCAGCGAATGGCAGACCCTGAGCTGCAGCCTAGTGTGTTCTCTCGCTGTAGACAGACTTTGAACAGACTTATGAGAACTTGAACACTCCCTCACGGAGTTTATGGAAGGCATTCCTGAATAGGGGAGTTGTTTGCTTATTGCAGACACCTTGTAAGCCATTGAGTCTGAGGCCGATTGATTACAGCGTGGGGCTGTATTGTGATCTTTATAAGATGTGTGCGGAGCAGAGCCTCGCTCTGCTAAGGTCACCCCTGGGAATAGCAGTTTTCTTAGAGCTTTGGTTTCTGGATTGTTTTGAATCAAACTAGCCTTGGATTTTGCTATTCGTTGCCTTTACAACTTCAAGCCCTTCTGCATACTGAAGTCACAGCTTGCGCTTTGTTTGCTGTAACCACCGTGCAGCAATTTTCCTGACATGTTTTCTCTTTGCATGAATGGCTACCGTGAAATACACGCTCAATACGAGAGGTACTGTTTGCTTTAGGTCTAGATTGTTACCTTGCTCTGTTAGCAAGCCTGTTCCTTTCTGAAATGGAAGCAGGAGACCTAGCCTCTCTACCATTAGAAGACCTTCTCTGCAGTCCCTTCACTCTCGTGTCAGTGGAGGGGACCTTTAGTTCAGTAGAGTTATTACCAGTTTCATGGGAGACATTTCTCTGGAGGGAAGCTGGAGGGTTTTAGGAAGCCAGGTTTATGACATTTCCTTTCTGAAGTGTGCTAGGTGGTCTTCAGTTATCAGTAGCCTGAAGAATCCCGTCAGTCGTGTTTTATATGCTGCCAGAGGGGTTCCTTCTAGTCTTTGTTGAGCCTGGAGTTTCAGGTTGCAGAAAGGATGGGGGAGGAAGGGGGATTAAGAAGCACCCCACATTAGCATAGTAGACTCTAAAGAACTTGCTCAACCTTCCCAGGTATCCTTTTTTATTTTTATCACCTGCCTATTAGTTCCTTTTCACATTGTTAAACAAAACTAACCTAAATCCACATGTATTTAGTCAGTGGTGTGTGTATCAAAAGTATCGTTTACAAGAGACAAAACTGGAGAAGTACCACTCAGGTGCTACTTGGCACCCGTGATCATGCAAAGAGCAAATTAGTCCTTTGAAACTATAGAGTCAGGGCCACTGAGGTGGCTCAGCCAGTAAAAGCACTTATCACTGAGTAAATGCCAACTCTAACGACCTGAGTTCAGTTTTTGGGACCCACATGATAGAAGGAAAGGACTCCTGCAAGTTGTCCTCTGACCTACACACACACACTTGTGTACACGCACACACACATTTGTGCACATACACTCTTGTGCCTATCTACCCCCCACACAAATAAATGAAATGTGAAAAGAAAACATCCAGCCCTTTAAAACGTTATACAGATGACTTCGTCTCCTCGAATCTTTTATTTTCTCATCTGTAAAGTGAGGGGGATGAGCTTAAAAATATCCATATAACTTAAAGTTGCTAGAGGGACATGCTAAGTGTAGTGTGTCCTTTCGAAAAAAGAACAAAATTGCCCCAACTGTTTGGGGTTTAGAATTAAATAAAGGACAGGTACTGGGATGCATTTATTCTCAGGAAACTCTGTTAAAGAGTCAAAGGAATGGTGGAATTCTGTAACATGTAGGGTAGTGCTCCTGGTGTGACCTACCCAGAGGGCTAACTCAGTTTGGGACTTGTCAACTAAAGGCAGAGAAAAAACAAAATTTGTTTTTAGTAGGAAAAAACAAAATGCAGTCCAAGGGAAGCTCACATAGTGCTGGCCTGAAGATGTAGTGCCACTCGGAGGAGTGGGAGAGGAGCTGAAAACGGAAGAAGTAGACCGTGGGAGTGAGAGAACCGTGCAGACATAATCTTTCCACACATCCTGGCTTACTGTAAAACTATGAATGTATGAAGGGCTGGCAGGAAGGAATGATCAAGGTAGCTGGAGAAATTGGCTAAGCTAGTTATCCCAGTAATTCTAGCACTTGGGGGACAGAGGTCAGAGAATCAGATTGGAGGCCAACATGATTAAGACTGTATCTCAGAAAACAAAAGACCACATTGGTTGAGCCTTTCTACCCATAAGCCGATTGAGGAGCAGGCTAGAGAGTTTTCAGCAAACTTTCCAAGACACTGATTTCCCAAAAAGCCAAGCTAAAGGACACAAGGACACAGACCACTCAGACTCCTGTACCATCGAGACCAGAGATAAGGAACAGGCAAGTTAGAAATAAAAGGTCAAAAAGTACGATTCTATTATCGCTGCCATATTTCCTGAAATACTTAGTTTCGAACAGTTTTGAGATGTGAAGAGTATGAAGAATGTGAGTCAGACTGAGGGGAAAGAAAGCAGGAGAAACCGACTCTAAGTAGCTCCAAATAGACCTTACAAAGACCTCAAAAAGACCATTATAAATGGTTTACAATGAGTAAAATAGAACAATGTGAATGAAAGAATGAAAGGAAATGTTCATATGCTTAGAGAAGAATATTGGCACATTGACTCAACTGGTGGGAAATCTCAATAATGAAAGAAAAGTTATGAATCTTACTCTCTTTGATGCTATTATAGATAGAAATTGTTTAATTCTATCTTTCCAATACTAGTATCAAAAATAT